CATCCATCATGTAGTCGCACTTCGGGACACAACGTATCCAAGGCCTTTTCCGAAAACCCCTTCATGAAGGATCCATGCATCGCCTTCCACAGGTTCTTGGCCGAGCCGCTCTCCACATACCTCATCGCATAGGTGGTCCATGGCAGCTTCTCCTCATGGATCAGGTGCTCAATTTTGCTTTTGAGAAGATGCACCCCGTCCTTAAACTCCTTGAGCTTCTTCTCCTCAATGAAGTTCACAAGCTTAGCCGCCTGGTCTTGCGCAAGCTCTGGGCATCCACCACGTAGCGACGTCTTGAGTTCTCCCCATACTGGGTGAACCACCTTGAACACCCCACGCTTCCAGCTGATCTCACATCCCGCACTCACGAGCTCGGCCATCGGCAGGATCGGCTGGGTCCTTGGTGAGGTTGAAAGGATCGCGCCCGTCTCAGTTTGCAGCAAATCTCTCCTTTCATCGTTTGCCAAGGTCACAGACACCTTTGATGCGGCATTCAGCTCCTCCTCATCACGGGGTTGTCGAAGTATGTGAGTGGCTCCTGAGTCGATCAGCGTCGGGACTTCCGGCAGCCCACTGAAAACCCTTTGGTCCAACGGCGTCTGCTGGGACTTTCTCATCTCCACAGTCTCCTCGCTCACCTTGATTGCCTTCAACCGAAGTTCATCCAGTTGCTTCTGGAGACTTTCAAGGGTAGATGTAGTAGATGACGAAGGTGTTGTCCCCGGACTCATCAGCGACTTCAGCGCCTGAGCCGCATCCCGCAAAGCCTCCTTCACTTCCCCTCCCGTGTTCTCGGATGTAGTAGGTGAGGTAGGCGCCGATGGCTGTGGCTCTGGCTCCATCGACATCGACCTTGCCGCGGGGTTTCCCCCGCCCTTTGCTGCGTCGTCCTTGGCCGACGGAGTTGTTGGGGCACTCTTTGCCTTCGCCTTGCCCTTTCCCTTGGCTTCACTGGCGTCTGACTTTGTAGGGCAGGCACTTGAGACATGGCCCTCCGCACCACACGTGTAGCACCTGTTCTTCTTGGAGACGCCCTCAAACGAGTGGACAAACTTGCAGGCAGCTCCGCGCTTGCATCCTCCTGGCTCGGTGAACCACTTGCACTTCTTTTCGCTCGCACTCGCAGTGGTTCCTCCAGCGGGTGTAGTAGAGGTCGTGGCTCCACCTTGAGGCGTTGATCTTGACGGCGCAGGAGCACTTGGTTGGAGAGGCCTGAGCTTGGGGTCCTTTGGATTGTCAGTAGAGGTCGTTCTTGAAGGTAGTCCATTCACAAGGTTCTCAGACTCCGCCCTCAAGTGCTGGTGTAGCTGAAGCGCCTTTTCCCAAGTGGGACTGACATCCACTCCCAGCTTACTCTTCACCAACTGAGTTCTGAAGGTCACGTCCTTGTCCTTTGCCCACAGCTCCGCCACCAAGGTGTTCAGTCCTCGCACCAAGAGGGAAGGGTCGGGCTTTGCGATGCTCAGGTTGTCGGCCCTCAGCAGCAATCTCTCCCATTGCCTCAACACTGAAACCAGTTCGCTTGCCGTCTGGGCCTTCGGAGGCGAAACCAGATACTGCAGGATGTAGGCCTTCTCGCTTTCACCTCCCGGCTGATACATCGTACACAGCCTGAACAACAAGGCCACCGGTGACCGCGTGATCGCCCGTGCCACCATCTCCGTTCTGACCGTCTCCGACATCGCCTGCAACATCATCCCGGCTGTCCTCGCGCTCAACCGTGAGTACTTGCCCTTCTCGAGGTCATCGGCCGTAGGAGGCTTCAAAGCCAACCTCTCGTAGGGCCCCGAAGCCACCCATCGCCGGTAGCTCTCCACCGCCCTCTCCTTCACAGCGTCCCACCACCAAGAACTGCTATCCGAGATATCCCTGAGCGGACCATCGATCACCTCAATCCAGTCCTGCAGGGCTACCGCGCTTTCATGTCCACTAGGCGCCGCCAACGGCGGCAAAGAAGTAGTTCCAGGCTTGCACTGCTCAGGCGCTTCCTCTTCCTTCTTCTTTTCACCCCTTTCAAGCTGGATCATCTGGGCCTTCTGTAGCTGTTGCAGGCCCTCCGCCAGTGTCTCCAGTAGGCGTTCGCTTGTAGTCCTTGACGTACCAGCAGGGACGTTCTGAGAAACACTCTGAGACTCAACCAACATTGGTGTTGCCGTCATCGTTGAAGCCGCAGTTCCCCCAGATTCACACCTTGTTGCGCTGATATCCGGCCCATACACCGTAGGAGGTCCTGCAGGTGCCCTCATAGATGGTTCCCCTTGAGACTCTTCCTGAAACCGAGGTCTCACATTCCGACCTTCGCCGCCTCCAACGCCAAGCAGACCTGGTGGACCATCATAGACATCGCCTGAGATATCCTTCCGCACACGACCGCCATCTCCCTGAGCGCCACCACCGGACTGACCACACGCATGCCCTGTAGGAACACTAGACTGGAAACCACTCTGAGGATCTCCATGATGCCGACGACCATCTTGCCCTTCTGGTTGCTGGAAACCACTCTGAGGATCTCCATGATGCCGACGACCATCTTGCCCTTCTGGTTGCTGGAAACCACTCTGAGGATCTCCATGATGCCGACGACCATCTTGCCCTTCTGGTTGCTGGAAACCACTCTGAGGATCTCCATGATGCCGACGACCATCTTGCCCTTCTGGTTGCTGGAAACCACTCTGAGGATCTCCATGATGCCGACGACCATCTTGCCCTTCTGGTTGCTGGAAACCACTCTGAGGATCTCCATGATGCCGACGACCATCTTGCCCTTCTGGTTGCTGGAAACCACTCTGAGGATCTCCATGATGCCGACGACCATCTTGCCCTTCTGGTTGCTGGAAACCACTCTGAGGATCTCCATGATGCCGACGACCATCTTGCCCTTCTGGCTGGAAACTCTGAGGATCTCCATGATGCCGACGACCATCTTGCCCTTCTGAAACCACTCTGAGGATCTCCATGATGCCGAGGACCATCTTGCCCTTCTGGCCTCCGTTGGAAACCACTCTGAGGATCTCCATGATGCCGAGGACCATCTTGCCCTTCTGGCCTCCGTTGGAAACCACTCTGAGGATCTCCATGATGCCGAGGACCATCTTGCCCTTCTGGCCTCCGTTGGCGTGGCTCCCAGAAACTTCGTTCCTCCATTAACATCGCCCTCTCAGCCCGAAGAGCCTGAAGTTCATCTCTCATCTCTTCAAGCTGGAACGACTGAGCCCTCATCAACAACTCCATCTGACGCTGAACTTCGGCTTGCACCTCAGACGACCCAGTAGTCGATTCCCCTTGCGACGGCCCTCGACCATAAAGCCACGGAGCCCTCTGCGAAAAACCCATCATCTGTTCCCAAGCTTCCCTTGAGAACAGCGGTGCCTCCTGAGGTTCTCCTCGAGGACCCCTTCCAACATAGCCTTGGGGCAGTTCCTCCGGCGGAGAAAACTCTAAAGGCGAGCTTGTGGTAGTCCTCGGCCCGTCTGCTGCTGCTGGCTGCCGTCTTGTTGGGGTTGCTGCTGGTGTGAGTGCTTGTGGTGTGGCTCGTGAATGTCGGGGCCCCTGAGTAGGCGTCGCGTTAAACCCAACCGAACCAAGCACCGACTGACTCTGTGTCGCCAAGAAATCGTTCAACCTTGAAATCCAGCGCACAACAGTCAACGAAGAGGAGCCCTGCTGCACCTCCATATCAGCCCTCACAGCATGCACGCTCCCATCTTGCAAAGCCATAGCAGCCGCCACTGAAGCCTGACTTCCCATCGCTTGCTGTCCAGGAACGAAGGCCTGAACTCTCCCAGGCGCAGGAACCTCAGTCAGCGCACGAGCCTCGGATCTCGACCCACCCGGGTGGGTGGCCAAGACGCCCTCATTCACAGAAGGGTTTATGCTATCCGCGCTACCTCGGGATCCGCTCGTCAAGGTCTGAAGTTCCCTTGACGCCACACCGTTCGGTAGCCCTCTCATGGTGCCGTTAGTCGCCTCAGCAGGACGCAGAGCCTCTCCTTGCTCAGTAGCAGCGTTTGGGCTCATCACCTGAAGAGCTGCACTGTCCTGCCCTTCAGCTGAACCCGACATACGGCGCCTCCTCAACAGTATCGTTCCAACTTTATCGGAAGATTCCTGAAGGGAATCCCACAACCATGAGCGCGGACACGACCCTCTGTTTTTCCGTCAACACAACAAGTGCATGCAGTCCTAGACACATCTGTGCACAGTCTAGGCTAAGCTTTAAGCAACTGCGATGCTGGCTTCTGCCGATCATGGCCTAAGCCCTGCGTGCTGGCTTCTGCCGCTCATGGACCTAAGCCGTGCGTGCTGGCTTCTGCCGATCATGGCTCTCTGAGCCACTCCGCTTCAAGGCAAGGTCCTGAACAATCAAGCTCCACCTGATTGGCTTTACAGGGAAGGGGCTTCATGCATCAGCAGTAGTAGTAGTAGTAGTAGTAGTAGTACTAGTAGTAGTAGTAGTAGTAGCAGCAGCAGCAGTAGCAGTAGTAGCAGTAGTAGCAGTAGTAGCAGTAGTAGCAGTAGTAGCAGTAGTAGCAGTAGTAGCAGTAGTAGCAGTAGTAGCAGTAGTAGCAGTAGCAATAGTAGTAACAGCAGTAATAGTAGTAACAGTCGAGTAGGAGAGTAGTACAGTGAAGGAGTACTAGAGTTACTAGAGTCACTAGAGGAGGCGTAGAGCAGTAGCAGAAGAGTAGTAGCGGAGTGGTGGTAGTAGTAGTCGTCGTCGTAGTAGTAGTAGTAGTATAATAGCAGCACCAGCTGCCACAGGAGATCTAGTTGAGTGAGGAGCAGAAGTCCTGGCCGTCGTCGTTATCGTCATTTTCATGGGTAGTTAGTTGCATATTCTGACTTTACTTCTCATTCATGAGGAGCAGAAAACTCTGGCCGTCGTCGCCATCGTCATCCTCATAGGTAATTGCATCTTCTGACGGTACTTCTTATTCGATGCACAGGGTATCATAAGCTAGATATGTTAGAGTGTATAAACTGGAGTCTAGTGCCGCGAGGCGAGTTGTGCGGAAAGAGGTTGGACTTGCCCTGGCGCAGCTTCCACATGCCGCAGGAGACTAATCTGTTGGGCTTCACAGCTTCCTCTCAGCTTCTGTGTTGGAGGTTGTGGTCGTTGAGGCCCGATAAGTTATTGGAAAGGTCGATGCAGGAAGACATTTACGGCGTATTTCAGCAGCCGAACCTATGTCATAGGGTGCCATTAGTTGTTCTGGAACGAAGTGCGTTAGCTAGTTGACTCCATTACATGCGCGCATCTCTTGCAGGACCTCGAGCCCGGGTCCTAGACCAAAAGCGCCCTCGGGCGAGGGATGAATGTGCGTTTCTCCTAGCCTTCGTTTGTAGCCGTCGTAAGAAAAGGTCAAGATCGGCAAGCTCGCAATACAGCACGCGAAATGTATCCTTTCAAGGGTGCTCGAAGTTCCATGTGTAGATATCGTTGATCGCAGTCCTGCTTCAAACAGAGTCGGAAGTGCGCCGTGGTACGAGTCCCTCCTCGCCTCCGGTGGACTGCTGCCGAGCTTAACTATAGGGCAGTTATCGTTACACCTTGGTCCTAGTGTGGAGCTGGGTTCTTCGCCGAACGAATCTCAAGCTCTGTTGACTTTGGAGATGGCTGCAAGCCGATGCGGGTTTTGCTTGTTTACACCTGCGGCGCCCTCCTTCACATGTAGAAAGTCGTGGTGTGCCAAGGCTGCCGCTGTGGTTTGGAGATTATTGCATGAAAGACGAGGCTGGGCACGGCACGCTGCGCGGAACCACCCACAGCCGCAGAGTAGCAACAAGGCAAAACTGTAGACACGTCCAGCGGGAGCCTGCAGAGGCGAATTGCATTGCAACCTCTACAGATCAGCCGGTCAGCCAGTCTTTCGTGCAATCAAGGAGCATGCAGAGGCGCGAGAGAGACTTGGCTTCTTCCTTGGTTCCTCAGCCAGCATTCATCAACTTTGGAGATGGTCGAAGGTTGCAATGCTACTGCAGCTTCAATGTTTGGTGGCTGGAAAGTCGGATGTTTTGTTTCAACCCGTGCACTTCAACCTTATTGCCGAAGTTGTCGCTGAAACTTGCTCCGTGTTAGCCTGATGGAGGTGAGCAGAGGCTCAACGACAACGAAAGAGGGCTCCGGAAACTCCAACCATTGTTGAAACGTTCTAGTTTTTGCATTGCTGAGTCATCGTTCTTCCAAGGTGCACAACCAGATATGCTCGAGCAGGCCTGACGCACTTCAGAGTTGTAGTGATAGTGAAGTTTAGGAGAGGGACTTTCCCCAACTGTGATGGGAGCAGGCGTGATGATGTGATCAGATGAATTCAGGATCTCTGCTTGCCGGGCCTGCAATTCGAAGCATGCTTTTAGTCTAAGTTCGGTGCATGCAGGTCAGGAGATCGTCTTCCGTGATTCGAAATCGCTCGGCCCGGCTGCATGCTCTGAACGTGACCCAAAGCCTCCGCTTGGAGCAGCTTTCAGTTTCTTTCAAGACGAGCCAAGGACTAAAGACACGCTCGTGCTTATGGACTGCCGTCACACAGGCGCCTGATCACTTGGATGAGCAGAAGATTCTCACCGCCAAGCATCCGGGCACCTACGGACGGGCAGGGGAAAACAGTGCATTTGAAGTTGAATGCAATGGCACAGAACGGTATCTGATGGTCTCAGAAATTAATAAAGCCTAGCACTAGCCCGTGGAGGATATCTAGACTAGACACTTGTGCTTGCTGTGGCCGCTGCGTGAACCTGCCCAGCTCGAACTTGTGCTGGTGACGAGTAGCACGGCGTCCGTGACGGCCCTGCCAGGACCCGAACCTGCAGATGTGAAGCCAAAGGATGTTTCCAACCCCACCGAGGACATGCAGGAGATCTTTACTGACCCTTCCAACGCAGGAGTTTAAGAGCTTAGAGACGGCAGTTTGAAGAGAATTGGCCCGTGTGCAAGATGCAGCAGCTCAGCGGCAATACCGGCTTTTTGCTACTGGGTTCAGCGAAGCAGAGCAGGATAGCGAAACTTCAGAAACGAAGTGTTCCAGGATCCCGGGCCACCCAAAGGACCCATTGCAGCATGCCTGGTGCTAAGTCCGCTAAGCTTGGGCTCGAAGTGCCTTGTTGTGTCAATGGTTGACGCTCGCAGATGGTGCAGTCCGAATTTCGGATGTTCATCGAAGTAGCACTTCGGTCGGGGTTCCACCTGGGCGCACGGCTAATAGGCGACGTTGTTCCGCCGTCGCCCGAAATTTGTGGCATCAGTTGGTGTGTGTGTGTGTGTGTGTGTGTTCAGCCTGGAGTCCGAGGTGTCGGGATTGCTGTGCTGATCGTGGCGGTCGCGATACCACTGCTTCGCTGAGGACTTTTCCAACGTCGCACGTCTTTACCGTGCTGTGTGCCGGATGCAGCATGATGCAGCTGCATGTCACTGTGCATCGATGTCCATATGGATGGCTGGGGAGAGCAAGTGGAGTTGGCTGCCTGCTTTTGGGCAGGGTGGGCGGTTGAAACAAGCGGCTGGGATGTCGACGCTGTTTGCAGGAGTTGATTCTGGCGGTACAGCGAAAAGAAGCAGCGAGCGAAAAGCTGTCATTTGCAAGTTCCTGCGTGGCTCCTGCTGTCGTCGCCGGTTATGTTCTGCGTCATCTCATCAGGGCCATGTGCAATGACTGAGATTCCGCAGCATCCCGGCATTTGCATCCTCAAGCTCTTACTCGAACTTCATGTTGCAGCTGTTTTGCTTCAGAGCACTTTCCGCAGCAGCGATGCGGATGTTAAACCATGTTGCCGGATGCTCAGATCTGGCTCCTCCTCCTTAACAGTTATCTACTTGGAGCAAGGGTCACGACGTACGAGTCCCCTGGGACCACAGCGACTTGCGCATTCCCACCACACCAGCCCACAAATGCATCGTGACACTGGAAGGGCGGCCGACGCCCAATCGTTGGGGTGTGTTGGAGTCCTCCAGGCCAGATCCTCCCGCCTTGCTCGGGCAGTTGCAGCAGGGAGCCACTTGGGCAGCAAAGGGGGGAAATTTCTGGTCTCCAAACCCTCAGTTCAAAGTTGTATCCTACAAACGATCAGTGTTTGTGTCCCTGTCACGCAAGGTCTCAGGCGCACCTTCTCAAGTTCGAGCAAGGCCGACAGCTTTCTAGCAAGGTTACGCAGCTTCAGAGAAGTCGATGCAAGAACCTCAGATCCTACCTTCCAGGGCGTTTCCAAAACTTGTGACATCAGATTAAATGATCCGTCCGTAGTTTTAGCCGGCAGATGTTCAACTTGACGATGCACAAAAAATGATATCAGATGTACGACCTGTTTCAGGTTGTCGGCTCTCCCGACGAAGCCATCCGAGATATCCGAGATGGGGCCACGCTTTGTGTCGGTCCTCGGGTGGCAACAATTAAGCGTACATTCCACGGATTTCAGTACACAGACGCCAGCTCCTCACTGAGCCCCTTTAGCCGCAAATACGGAATCACCATCCGGACTTCAGTTAGACGATCTGACTATCTCCCAACGGTGCCAGCAGGAATAGGGGAATAGGTGTAATTGTTAATTGGCACTTTGGCGGGCCTAGTCGTCTTGTCGTGTCTTGTCCTTTTCACTAATGACTAATTGATCTAGAAGTTGTGGGGGGGTGGGGTATGTTGTTTGCTCTATGCACAAGCTCAATCGTGACTTGGGGCTCAATGCTTGGAATGTAGGTCTGAGCACGCCATGCCTCAATTGCGTGGCCGAGGGTGTTTACTTGAGGCGCTCTCAAGATGCAGGAAATGACGACGACCGGCATCCCCCAGCCCAAAGCCCAAAACCTGGATGCTTTGCCACTCTTCGAGGCGGCTTCGGTCTCTGTGGAATCCCAGAGAACCTCCTCGATGCACTGAAGAAGAAGGCCTGTTAGGAGCTTGATCAAGTTTTCTCTTCGTGTTACGGATGTTGGCTGGTAGCGGTTGGAACACCGGGCAGTCACAACCCAAGCTCGCAAGAATCGTTGGGTTGATGGCCCCCTCTTTTCTTTATGAGGGCTAGGGAACATAATCCTCGTAGGTCCTAGAGTAGGAATCTGAATGAGCGCGCCGGTCATGCATGTTGTGGAGAAGCGGATGCGTGTCCGATTTGCGGGTGGTCGTGCAGATTTGTGGGTTGTGTTACAGATCCGCTCGTGAGCTTCGGTTCGAGTAGCCATTTTCCATGGGCCGTAGCGTTTCTTTGAGTTGTGGCTGAGTTGAGTTACTCACGTCGCAAGTTGCACTTCGATCGATTGCTGAACCTGTCACGTGCAGGGCGTTAAAGACTTGACGGCCTGCATCTCGGAAGCCGGAAATGCTACGAGTTCCCAATCAACGGACTGCTGCATTTCTTCCGTGTCTTTGTCCATCTTGTGCAAAGCAGATGTGTCGTGCATCAGATTGTTGCATGGTTTCAGGTGTTGGGATCTTTGGAGCGTCCATGCCCGTAGCTTCAGAACCTTCCGCACATCCAGAAGCCTAGATGTGTAAAAGGAAATGACTGGCATTGTAAGAGACGGTCAGGAGCAAAGTTCGGTACCGTCCAGATCCGAAATTAGGGGAGCAAAGTTCGGTTCTGGGTGATGGGATTGCGTTCTGGGATAGCACCGACTGGTGTTGGAGGCAACCATGCGATCGGCACCTCTGCAATGCAGCAGCGATGTCAATGTTCTCAGTTCTTGCGATGAAGGCAAGATGCCCCAAGCCTTTCCGAGGCAGTGTCCAACAACGCCGGTGTTGATGATTTCGGCTTGGGCCTTCTGCTGCAGTCGAGGCTCGGTGCCTGTTTGCGCCAAATGCGGGTCTACAAGCTGTGCGGTGGGTGTGTTTCTTGCGCCTTCGCATACCTAGCGGTGTCTTGGAACTAGAGACCTGGAGTGTACCTGATTCTGGCTAGGCAGATCAAGCGCATGATCTCCTCATATGTTGGCGAGAACAAGCTCTTCGAGGAACTGTTTGAGCTTGTGGTTTCAGGATGTTTCATTTACAACTCGGAAGTAGGTAAAGCTGTCCGTTCACTTTTCCCCTTTGCCTGCCAGGAGTTGTACCTTTCCGGGCAGCTTGAGGTCGAACTGACGCCGCAGGCCACATAACGTGTCGTGGGGAACGGGAAACCTGCTTGGCTGGTGGCTTCCATTTCCGCTGCATTGATTGCGCATGTCTAAGCTGGCGAGATATGGAGCCTGAGCCCAAGAACTGTCTCTTGCTACTAGTACCGGCTACTGCGGTCCAGATAAAGACACCACAGATCCATGCCATACTCCAATAAGCACTCGGCTTCGGCAGGGCACCTTGGCAGAGCGCCTTCGTGCAGGCCTTGTCCTTCTGTGTACTTAGTACGTGGCCAGCGGCTATGTGACTATGTGCAGTTATCGCATGCTCATGTTTGTGAGCACGTCGCGGTGTAGTCTCTGCAAAGCCTGGTTTCTTTAGCTCAGTTCGTAGTTTCGGCCTATTGGATCGAGGTCTCGGTTCAATGGTCTAGTTCGATGGAATGAGACAAAGTGGCAGTTGCCACCCCGCATGGTTCTATCCGGGACAGGCGCGCGCACAGATCTCAGCTCCTTTGTGGAGAAACTTGATCCACGAGGGCATAGTAGCAAGTGTTACACAGTCTAAGGTTGACGGTCTTGTTGAATCTGCATGGACATGCCGGACCCAAGAAGTGGACTACCTACCATATGAAAGCCGCAAATCCGCATGGCAACCAAAGCCAAACTACGCCGAAGCCCGACATCTAAAATTCCACCAGAGACCCTGCGAAGTCACAGATGGCATGTGAAGCGTGGAAGGTGGAGCTGGCATCCCAGCCTTCTTCACTCGGACGGCACGTGCCTCAGATACAACGAATTGCTGTTTCGGCCGGGCTTCGGCCCTTCGGCCCTTCGGCCTCGGGTCTTGGAACTTTTGGAGCCTTGAAGCCTTCGCTGAGTCGCCGTCACAGTGTTGGGAAGTTCCGGTCTCGCGGTTTGTCGTACATTGGCTTGAACAGCAAATGAGGTGCCGTCAGATAACCTGTTCCCGGTTCACGTATGCAAAAGTCGGTGCAGGTGCTACACGTTTGCGGCGAACCAGCACTCTGTGCCTGATGCAGGCTTTCGGCACAGCAGTTCACGAGGGAAGCAACGTGATCAAGTACGGCCCAGGCGGTTCCAAGGCAGCGGAAGAATTGTTTCCGGCGTTGTCGCCGCACAGCCCATCCATGTGAGCTAGAAGACCGGGAGTTGTCGTTTGAGCGCTAGAAGATGCCGTAAGTTGAGGCTCTGATGGGCTTCAACTCACTGAGCATGTTATAGAACTTGCAAGGCACACATTCGGAATATGCATAATGTCTTTTTCCGTATAGGTATGTGCATGGATAAGTTTCGACGCAAGTAAAATGATGATGGTGATGATGATGATGGTGGTGGTGGTGATGATGATGATGATGTATTTTTGTGAAAACGTATGTAGGTTATTTGCTCGTGCTTGCATGAATGCATGCATGTATACATACACAGACAGGAGAGAGAGTTTCCTGTGCTTGATGCTGCAAACATAGGAGCTTTTGGACACCATAATTACCATCCTTCATCTTGTTTCTGCGACCCATCCCGGAAGGCCGGCGCCGTTGAAATCATGAGCGAGCCTAGGGAAGCCCGCGATTTCGACGGCAAAGGACATCCCGATTTGGGGGGTGGTTGGGGTCTGCATGTCCCGATTGCAACCAGCCTACAGGGATCCGTTTTCCTTTGGGACGAGATTTTCAACAGTCTTGTGCCTGTGACTGTGACCCCAACCTTGAGAAAGGCTACGTGATGGAACGCGCCATCGTCGGAGACTTTTCAATCGTCAAAGCCTGGAAGGCGGGATGGAAGTTTCGGTTCTTTTCGATTCCAGCTTTCCGGAGGAAGCCGTCGAACTCCCGCCTGGTGACATGCGCCTGGCAACATATCCCTGCCATGAGCCAACGTATCTGGCTTCTGTGAGCGCAAAGCTGATATCTGGTGCAGAGCTGAGAGCTTTTTGCGACAGTTCGCCCCCATGCAGGCCGACGAGCGTGGAAACTTGGTTTGGAAAGGTACAGCCCGGAAACTGAGCTGCAAGGAGGGTGCTACTTTAAGTCGATGAAGTCTCTTCGTCCCTCTTCTTTCGCTGCGAATATTTTCGCGCCAGGCATTCTTGAGGCCCGGTCTGGGAGTGCTACGCATCATATGTTATGTGTTGTCCAAATGGTATGTCCCACGAGCCAACACTGGAATCGCGTCCCTAGTGTCAAGGACTGTAGAAACCGGCCATGCAATCGATTCTTCCCTCAGAGTGGCCGGCGAAACCTTGCCTGGGAGTGCCGCAAACCTTCTCGACCTCC